CACCAACAGTGCAAGCATAGACACCATCAGAATTCCGCTTAATAATCCAATGGCAACTATGATAATTGGAGTCATACCGCTGTTAATTACTGAAGTACATCTAATTACAACAAATTTGCTTCACAAAGGAAACTATGGGGCAACATCCTTGCCACAAACTGTTGTGCCGAACAGTTTGTCGGAAAGCTGCCGAAACGATTCTCCGGAGATCGCCGACATGTAAATCGGAATGCTCGAGCTGTTTCTTGATTGGTCAATCCCCGGGAACTATCTCAAGCTCGCGGGCACCGGTTATGACCTGAGATCAGGCCTGATAAGGGTTGTGCCTAAGAAAGGTGATCGGGGCTGATTAAGCGTTTTCTGTAACGTATATTTTTTGCCAACTGATCCCACCATCGCTACAACTTTTCTCCCTGCGTGCGTACACCTTCAGGCTACCTACACCAGTATGAAACGTGTGTAAAAATAGTGAGATGGTGATGTATGACTTGTGGCACACCTGAACCACTGTGCTACCAAGGCGACGACTGAGACCGAGCTAAGTGTACAACTATAGAGCAAACGCCTTTTACGTTAGACTAACTTGATGTTTTCTTTTGCCTGTGTTGTTGGCTAATTGTGGAATTGATCACATAACACGAACAGAGTACTAAACTAAAAGTTTATTACAAGAGATATTGTAATGAGAACTCTTAAGTGGAACGTCAGCATGATAGAAATTATGATAACTCGAAAGAACAGACTGGAACCAACCTTAATTCTCCAGTTAGTAGATGACGTGACTAATTGTAAAAGAAATCAAAAAGAGAAACACTTTTTTTCAGTTTTTTTTTAAGTATACGCAGTTTATCCAACCCAGATTGAATCCAGGGATCATAAAAATTCACGGGATCAAGAATCAAGTTTTGCAACAATTTTAGGATCAGGGATCAAAATTTAAAGCTTAAGTGTGGGATCAGTTGGCAAAATATACAACTTGTTACGACCCCGCAATAAAGAAAGATTTTTATAGGTTTTGTTTTTGTTATAGTTCCCTTTTTTTGCTATTTTTAGCCTAGGTGAGGTGACTTTATGTTCTATCAGTAATCGGCTCCTGGTTCTATCTAATAAGCTCATACGTATCGCTTCGTTGAAATTTAATTAGGATTAGAATTTTCTTGTATATGGTTTTTTTATATATTTTATTGTTTATTCTAGGCAGTTCTGTATAAACTGTCCTAATTATGAAGATATCACTTTTATCGGCTATATATATATATATTTCAAATTTAATTTTATCATTTTGATTATCAGTGTAATTGAATTGAGCAAATAAATTTTAAAGATGTAGTAGACATGGTTAATGTTCTATACTGTTATCATAATATCTTTAGTGGACATAATTATACATTGTGAGTTTTCCTGTAAAAAAGCTTTTTAGCTACTGTGTCAGAAGATTACTGAGGGAATGGGAGCCACGAGTGATGGCGGTGTGACGATCCTCGTCTCATTGCACCGGTTTTTTTTGTCTTCTTCGCTAGATACCGATAAGACTTGGTATCATTGCTTTGAATTCCAGCCTGTGTAATGGACAGCTATCAGTGTTCGGTTCCTCCGATTCAGTCAAGTCAAGATTTTTAGCGAGGAATTTAAGCGGACTGACAAGATGGCGTTCTTGCTTGTATGGGTTGATTCTCCGTGCTGCCGATGGAGCCGGCTTATCAGTGGTCCGCTGTTGCTCGATATCGTTCGCCAGAAGTCCCTCCGCCAAATCCTGTTTCTAGAGACAAGCGAATTTCAAGAGGTGGTCGACTGGATCATTTCATTTTGATTCAAGGGTCCATTGGCGCCAAAATCCAATAGCCCGCCAATCCAAAATCTTTGTACCCATCCTTCTTACAGGAAAAGATCAAGTAACAATGGGTATGACTCCCTTTTATTAAATAACAAAGTCAGGATACCAACTTGCATTTGCATAGCAAATTGTAGAGAACGGAGGTCAGTTTACCAGTTTAATTATTTGTTGAAATATCATTTTCTTCCAATTATGGGGCATAATTTTTGATGAAAAACGAGCTCCCCTGAAGACGCCTGCGTGGGAGGATAGTAAAAAACATTCCTTGTGAATTTTTTAGACAGTCTTCATGTTAGCCTGTTCCAGGCTCCGGGATAGTCGGGTCCGCTGAATTGAGAAAGCGCAAACTGGGGAGTCTTTCGCGTCTTCCCCACTATCTGAGAGCCTGGAACAGGACAACTTTTCGCGTGCTTTTTCCTTTCGCATCTTCCGCACTATCTTAGAGCCTGGAACAGGCTATCTTTATGTCGGAACCCTATGTTGTTCATTTTTTTAATTTTGATGACAAAAGTCGCGACAAACAAGAAATCAACTAGCACGAAAGACTACACAATAAAGTATTTCTTCAACACATTTATTACGGACCTTAAGCATCGACGACGACATTCAGTGGTGATGATTTAGAGAGCGTATTCTATGAGTTGTCAAAACGTTCTAATTTTTAAAGCAAACTAGTGAGCAGCACTCTGCGAACTGTCGCTGTGAAACTTCTTTATTCTCCTACGCGTTTCTACGTCTTTTGTTTTACATTGCACAATCGCTCATTTCAGACGACCGATTCTTCTTCGCCTCTCTGGAGGATATTCCTGCGGAATTCATCTCTACGTTGCTTTCTTCCCTCCCGTCTCCTTCTGTTTTCTTCCGCTCTTTGTCTCGCAGGCCCATGTCTTTCCTGATTGCTAAAAAGCAAAGTAATTGTTAATAGATCTGGTAAAATAACGACTTAATTTTTAAAACGTTTTAGCGGAATCGACCGGCCCTAATTCCATCATTAGGGGTTAATAGCATATTAATTACACCAATGTCTCACATCAGGAGCCGATTAGTGCGAAGAAACATTCATGCGGAAGAAAATCACAAGAAGCTAAAGAAGATGGTGCTTCGTTTCTTCATTTTTTGCCGGTTCCTGAGACGTGACTGATTTCTTGCCCTATCACCCCCATCTCCTTAACGTCCACCACCCCCCATCCCTTCTGCTCTAACCACGGACATGGACAGCGCAAACTCTATTTTTCGTGCCAGGCCAAATCGGGAAGAATCATTTACAACCGATCCGTATATAGAGGCAAGAGTCTAAAGAACAAAGAAGTCCGCTGCATCAAAAAGTGAGGGAAAAAATGGAAGGAAAGAAGGAAGGAAGGAAGGAAGGAAGGAATGAATGAATGAATGAATGAATGAATGAATGAATGAATGAATGAATGGATGGATGGATGGATGGATGGATGGATGGATGGATGGATGGATGGATGGATGGATGGATGGATGGATGGATGGATGGATGGATGGATGGATGGATGGATGAATGGATGGATGGATGGATGGATGGATGAATGAATGAATGAATCATTTAAACATTCACGCACTCACTCGGCTTATTTACTCACTGATTTACTTAATCAGTTATTAAAACGACTGGACGATTGAACGAACAAACGAATGAATGGACTGTCGGAAGAAAAGGTGGATGAAAAAGTGAATTTAGAATAGAATGGATGGTCATACCTTGTCTCCCCCTCCTCATTCTTGAGCGGTTGAGCGGACGAGACCTCTCCCAAACAACAACACGTTGTAGCGGCGAATAAGTTGCCGGGTTCTGTTCCTATATATTCACTACGATAGAAGAAACCTCGTTTTCTGTGTAAGTGAAAGAAAAAATATGGAAGACCCGTTTTACTCTTTAGATTATGCAAGTTATTAGAGAGAACCCATTACTGACATAATCAAACTACTGGCACTTTTTGTTACAACATCGATAGACTACAAGCAGTCTCTCGTTTTTCTTCTCAGTCCGTTGAGCGAAAAGCGCGAGACACGAAAAATGACCACGCACGTGACTGAAGGTGCGAGTAGACTGTTCCAAGAGCCTTAATAGGACCTATAATGGCTCTTGACTGTTCACAGTCCTCTATTTTTCCGTAAGATGGTCCAGATCGGGGGCCATCTTGCATGAGTGTCAAAACTACTCAGGGGACGGAGGCGGTTTGGGAGGAAGCGCCCCCCTCCCCCTAAAGCAATCATGATCCCTGACGCCCGCCCCCTCGGTACATTTGAAAACAAGATGGCCGCCTTAACGGTAACGCGCGCTATATCTCGACGATCATCTCACGAAAAAATAGGAGACTGTGAACAGTGTACGATTCGCTTTGAAAATAGCATAATTCCGGCAGGCAAGGCGGTAGCCGTTAAAGAGAATGTATGGGAACCACTGAAATTGGGCCTGATCTCAGGCTACCAGCAGAGGAAGGTAAGCTACAGATTTTCTTTCTTATTGCCAAAATTATTAATTTTCATTTCTTTTTAGAAATAGCTCTGTCAGGTAAATCCAAATAATAGAACCTTGTTGGGTCCCATGGCTCTTGGTAACCAAGTACTCGATTGAATTACCAAGGTTTACAAACGGTTTGCTCACTTATTACTCCCGAGTGTAAGCGCGAGGAATGTTTTCCGTTACCTTTATAGTATTTTTATGTTCGCCGCGTTTTTAGTTATTTTCGTGTTCGCGCCTTTAGTGTTGTTTTTTGGTCATTAGTTTTTCATTGTCCGCGTAGCTTTGGCCTTCGTGTTAGGGTTTTTCTGCATATCGTATATTTAGCTTCATCATAATTTTCGCGTCAGTTCTTCGTTAGTTGCGCTTGGTCCAGTTTACAGTTTAATGTTTGGATCTTTGCTCGTCCTAGTATTTCGTCCTTATCCCGCTATCGTCTTGTAAGGATCTCGTTTGTTGCATTCGCATTTCTAGTTTGCCTTATTGCTTTCTTTCAGTGTTTAGGTTGTTTTATCTTGACTTTGTGTTTGTTTAATTGTTATTTTTCAGTACCGCTATACTTCACATCGCTTCGGTTCGCTTTTTTCCTTGATCACTAGTTGTAAAAGTCCTGAAATAAAGTTTGTGTGTTAAAAACTATAGCGCGTAAAGGCTTTCGACTATACCGGTGTTAGTTCCCTGCTCAACTTTAAATGTCTTTTAACTCCTCGAAAATACGGGATTCGACTTAATACCACCTTCCAAAAGTTAATTCTAGTGAATGTTTCCACCGTTTTAAAAGGAATTATAAATCATGTTTAAAAATAACCTACCTATGTAAAGACTCTGAAATTTGAATTATGGTGGCAAAATAGAATTGCACTGAGCGATACTATTTTTTAGATCAATTGTCAATGAAAGTGAATTAAAGAGTAAAGTAAAGTAAAGAAACATTCGAAGTTGCGTTTAACATCAATCAATTCAGAATAACTGAATCATCGTTGGCCAGGGCATGAAATGAACTCTTTTTTGGTAGGATCCACTTGGCTACTTATATTTCAAAGTGGTAGCTAATTCCACAAGTAGTCGAATAGGTGTTGAGTCCCCAGAAAAATATATATATATATAAACGAAACAAAACAAGAACAAACAGAACAAACGAGGAGAAAACGGCCGGTTTACTAGATGTTGTTTTAGAGCCGTGAGATCCTCCCAATTTGCAAGTTTTGAACCCAACTGATTCTAGCAGGTAATCAAAGTAAGCAAAGAGGACCCCTGAGTCAAGTAAAGGACAGGGGAGGGGGTGGCGAAGAAAGGACGGAAAGAAAAAAGGAAAGAAAGAAGGAAAGAAAGGTTTCCTTTCTTCCCCTCTCCTCCCCCTCTTTCATTTTTTGGTTCTCGTTTAATTTCTCGCGCGATCAAAACCGAAAATCCCCTTCCACGGTCTCGTTTAGCTCCGAAACCAAACGGAAACGCTTGCTACACAGGCTAGTCTTCGTGCCGCGAGCCAGATTGTTAATAAGACGAAACACTTCTTCGAAAGTTTAAAATATTACTTGAGAATCTTGTCGAGTCAATATGACAGTTCTATTGTCTTTGAAGAAAAAACAGATGACGCTCGCGCGTGCGCACAGTCGTGACACTGTTCCTTTAACCGGGTTAGTTTTTGAAAAACCTGGTAAAAAATTCTTTAGAACGTAACCTGGTTAAAAGAGTTTAACCAGGTTAATTTATATTAGTGGCTGGACTCAATTTAGAATTTCACAAAGTCATTCAATGTCGCGCGGTTTTTTATTTCTTCTTCCGCTCGCTAGAGTCACTCGTAACACTCGCTTAAGAGTGACTGACAAAATTTGACCCCGTATTACCGAGAAAAAGGGGTCGACTTCTTAAAAGTCTTAACTCATTTGTGTTACTAAGAAAGAAATACTGAACTTCGAGCGAAAGAAGCAATTTCGAAACTGTGCTTACGTGTATGGTAAAGCCAAAACTTGGATCATTCTCACGCGTAGGTGGAGATGAAGGTTTAAAAACCTACGTTAAACTACCTCGCGAGGTGTTTTAAAAAAAACAAACCTGGTTAAGAAAATCTATTGTTCTGCCTTGATTTGCATAACCCGGTTAGAACTCGGTTAAGACTGTAGAAAACCCGGCCGCCCTCACAGTTTTTTTAAACGAGTTGACTTTAATTAGTTACTTGGAAATAACTCAGTAAAGTCCCCAAGTGCGGCCGGAGCCAAAACTTCTGGGTTTACCAGTAATTGTGACAGCCGTTAAAGTTATATTTATTTATTCATTGACAAACTAGTAATCGATCAAAAAGTAATAAACGTGAAATAAACTCACTCTTCTCCGTTTTTAAGCGTCAAAACACCATGCCCGTGTTTGTGGTTCCATTTCCATTGTCCTTCGTATATGTCGCCATTTTGATAGAGATACGTTCCTTCTCCGTGTCTGACACCAAGAAATGTTTGTCCGTTGTAACGCACTACACCTTCAAAATCAGCCCTTTCTCCAGAGACGCACAGGCCCATTTATAAATGCTGTTGCTCTTTTTGACCTCCTTCTTTCTTTCCTTGGTTTTTCTTTTGAGGTAAAGCTACTTCCGCGTAGACTGCAAAACAGTCCGTATTTTTGCGTATTCAAGTACGCGCGAGCAGTCCAACAAAAAAGGTCTGGAACGAGGCTGAAAACAGAGAGCATGACTGGGGAGAGACGCTAAAAATACGGACTGTCCGTTTTGCATACGTTATATTCGTTCGAATTACCCGCTTCTCCCAGCCACGGGAAATTCCCATTGGCTAAATTTCGATGAAAGCTGTCATCAAGCTGTCAAGTAATGTTTTCAACAAGTCATTCGCGATATTCCGTACGGTGATGAATAGATTCCTAAAGCTTTCGCTGTAAAATGACGGATGTCGATCGCCTGGATTTGCTCGCGCAAGAATTGGGATTTGTTCTTTAAAAAAAACGGAGCAGAGGGGTGCTTTGGAGTTGCTGCTCAGGGGAAAGGATGTTTTCTGTGTCCAACCAACGGCCGACTGTCATTCTTATCTCGCCTGTGTAAAAAAGAGGGATCGCTTAATAACACACGACTTTTACCTCATGCCAAAATGCTGCTTGTTCCAATGAATTTTTTTCCCTGCCAGGTAGATTATGCTTTGGAAGAAACGTTTCGACTGGGCAAATGTGAATTTTGGCCGCTAATTAAATTTTTTTTTATACTGAGAGGTCGTGACACGCGTATTGATTTTCTCTGGCTGGCATGATTTGCCCTCTGACAGCTCTGATTAGCTTACGTAGCATGGTGGTCTTGTTGAGTGTTTTGGTTGTGAAAACAAAAAATGGCGGACATTTCACTCGTTTCAAGAGGAAGAACTAGGCGAAATAATAGCTAAAAACATGGCAAGAACAGCAAGAAGACAATTCGAAGGGTGACATCTGCTATTTGGAGAATATTTGCGGAGCTGGACAAACCTAAACGTACACTATCGAAGAGAGGAACTTAACATCGATGCATAAGCGTGTTTTAGCTATGTTTTTAAACTAGGAATTATTTTGAATGAATAATAAAGCAACTAATGAATTCGGCTTTCGTAGGATATGAAGAATTAAGCAGATCTGGAGGGGTGTTATCCACCAAGACCTGCTATCCCGCTAGAGCCGCTCAATAAGATTGGAGAAAAACCGAAGCCAGCGAAAGTACCACTCACGGGATCCATCAGAAGGATAAATGCTGAAACTAGGTAATTGCAACCTGAAAGATAAAGTGGTACTGTGAGGACAACATAGGAAAAGACGCGGCTTGAGGGATAGCAGTCTTACGCGCCGGTAATCCGACAGGGAATTAGACTCCCACGTAAGACTGAAATCCCGGGAGCGGCTGCAGAAACTGAAAATAATAACAAGGAAAGAATTGAAAACAAATACAACCAAAGCAATCAACATAACTAGTAAAATACTTCAAACAAAAGGGGAAAAGTACAGAAAATACTGACCTTGAAAATATATGTGACCAGACCGAATGTCGAACCAGCTGTCGAATACGTGGCAACCTATAAGATCTAGGTTAAAAAACGAGATACTTACCGCGAGCATAGCCCAAGAAATTGAGGAAGATGGAAATAAATCAGAAAGCAGAAAGGAAGCGGAGAACGCCAATGAAGAAAACAAGGGGAAAGGCGAAAGGGTGAGGAGGGAAGGAGTTTGACGAGCGCGTTTAATGAAGCCATGATGAGACCTGTGTGACTTGTCTCGAAGATGATAATGAATGCATGGTGTATGTGTCTTATATACTCGCTTGGGCAAGACCGCTGTAAATAGTTTTTTAACCCGGCATTCGCAGCTCACCCGCAAATTGTTCGCACACGTTTTACTCGCCATTTGTCGCGGCTTGCTTTGAGAGGTTCCACGAGTTTTTTTCTGTGTTTCCATTGAGTGCAATGAATCGAATTTTTAATTAACGAGTCTGGGTTTTGGTCGAGGGTCGAGGGTCGAGGGTAGAAAGTCGAGGGTCGAGGGTAACATGTCGAGGGTCTAGAAAATGACAGATTTTTTTGTGGGAGAGTTAAAAAAATTACTTGCGAATTTATAGACAATCTTCATGTCGGAACCCCATCCTGCTCATTTTGTTTATTTTGATGACAAAAGTCGCGATCAACGTACAAGAAATCAACTAGCACGAAAGACTACGCAATAAAGTATTTCTTCAAATTTATTGGGGACCGTAAGCATCGACGACGACATTCAGTCGTGATGATTTAGAAAGGATCGTATTCTATAAGTTATCAACGTGCTTTAATTTTTAAAACTTAACTAGTGAGCAGCACTCTGTGAACTGTCGCTGTACAAGTTCTTTATTCTTGATTTGTATCAATGATCTCCCTGCCTGCTCTAGCTCTAATGAACTCGAATTTATATTATTTGTGATGATACCAGTATATTTTTTGAACATAGTGACCTGGATGTACTTACCTCCCACCTTAACGACCAGCTCCACAATGTTTCAACTTGGCTAAAAGCCAATAAGTTTATCAATCAACGTTAAGAAAACAAAACTAATGGTTTTCAGTCCAAGGCAAAAAACGTTACCAATCACAGACCATCACAAGGCAGATTATTATAGAATATAATGTACTGGAACAAGTAGACAATACCAAGTTCCTCGGACCTTATATTGATCAGCACCTTACGTGGAAAACTCATGTTAATTTTATTGCGGCTAAGATTTCTGAATCTGTCGGGTTATTTTATAAAGCTAAATACTATTTGCCCTCAAAATCTCTTCTTATGGCACTATACTTTGCGCTTATTTATCCATATCTTACTTACTGCAATTTAATTTGGGCCTCTACTTATGTCACCAACCTGCACCGAATTTACCTGGTACAGAAAAGAGAAGTCCGGGCGATCCCTAAGGCTGACTACAAGGCTTCAATTAAGTAAACCTCTTTTTGCAAATTTGAAAATTCTTGACGTTTTTGGTATCTACCCGCTCCAAGTAAGTTCTTTCATGTACCTATATCATCATGACGCTTTACCTAGTATTGCTTTTACTCAAATCTTTCAAACTGGAAATCAGATTCATCAATGTTCAACAAGATACTCTGACTTTTACACCTACCTCGTACCTGTAGAACAAATATTAAAAAATTTTTGATCCTGTTTCAAGGTCCTAGAATTAATATAGAATTCATTAGCGAACAACATTAAAAACGTCCCGACTTAGTTTTAATATATTCAAGCGTGTGATCAAACCATTTTTAAGGGTCAGACAAGATACAACCTAATACCTTAACACCTTATGTCTATATTTTTCTTTAAACACACTTATATACTTAAAATACTCGTCTTTTTTCTTCATTTTTAAATGCCGCCTAGTATTTAAATTGCCCGTTGGGGGAAATCTCTATTCCTCATAAACTCGGCCTCTAGGAGATTTCCCCACCACAGTCACTCCTTCCAAGTAGTATGCTCATTTTAAATTTAATATTAATTAACCTATTTATTATCTTTTTTATTCTACTTGTAATTTACTCTGTGTGGCAAAATAATAATAACAATAATAATAAATTCTCCTACGCTTTTCTACGCCTTTTGTTTTACATTGCACACTCGGTCATTTCAGACGACCGGTTCGCCTTCGCCTCTTCTCTTGAGGACATTCATGCGGATTTCTTCTACCTCTTTATCTCTACTTTTCTTATTTTCCTCCCGTCTACTTCTATTTTCTTCCGCTCTTTGTCTCGCAGGCCCATGTCTTTCCTGATTCCTAAAAAGGATGACAGGAATGCAAAGGAAAACTACCGGCCCATAACTCTCTTACCATGTGTAAGTAAAGTTCTTGAGAAGTTGGTTGGAGCGCAGATCAACTCTGGCTTTGGTAATCGCATTTACCAACACTCATCCGCTTATCGCAAAGCTCACAGCTGCGAAACAACATTGATCAATTTAGTAGAAGATTGGAGACTGGCGAGGGATCGAAAACAGGTTGTGAGCATACTTTCAACTGACATGTCAAAGGCATTTGACTCGTTACACCCACCACTACTTCTGAACAAGCTTGAAGCGTACGGTTTTCAGGAAAGCGCTATTCAACTTTTAAACAGCTATTTAAATGAACGGAAATATCAAGGAAAGATCGGCCGGCATGTTAGTTCGAGCCGATTCGTGAGTCGTGGCTGTCCTCAGGGTTCCGCGCTTGGCCCGTTGTTATGGAATGTTTTCCAGAATGACCTATCCTACTGCCTAACAGCGAACTTGTCTATGTATGCCGACGACCATCAAATTTACCACGCAGGAGCAGACCAGGCAGCTGTGACTTCCCAGTTAAAGGATAGTGCCAACTTAGCAACAACGTGGTACGATTCTAACTTATTGGCGGGAAACCTCAAAAAGTACCAAGTTTTGAACTTGGGCTTCACTCAAAATGACAGCAATATTTGCGTGAATGATGTTGTGATTGAAACTAAAGATAATATCATACTTCTAGGAGTAGTGTTAGATTCTAAGCTAAATTTCTCTGAGCATGTAATCTCTATCTGTAAAAAAGCCAGCCAGAGAATTGGTGTTCTAATGAGACTACGTAATCTAATCTGAGTGAGTGACAAAAGTGACAAAAGTCGCGACAAACAAGAAATCAACTAGCACGAAAGACTACACAATAAAGTATTTCTTCAACACATTTATTACGGACCTTAAGCATCGACGACGACATTCAGTCGTGATGATTTAGAGAGCGTATTCTATGAGTTGTCAAAACGTTCTAATTTTTAAAGCAAACTAGTGAGCAGCACTCTGCGAACTGTCGCTGTGAAACTTCTTTATTCTCCTACGCGTTTCTACGTCTTTTGTTATACATTGCACAATCGGTCATTTCAGACGACCGATTCTTCTTTGCCTCTCTGGAGGATATTCCTGCGGAATTCATCTCTACGTTGCTTACTTCCCTCCCGTCTCCTTCTGTTTTCTTCTGCTCTTTGTCTTGCAGGCCCATGTCTTTCCTGATTGCTAAAAAGCAAAGTAATTGTTAATAGATCTGGTGAAATAACGACTTAATTTTTAAAACGTTTTAGCGGAATCGACCGGCCCTAATTCCATCATTAGGGGTTAATAGCATATTAATTACACCAATGTCTCACATCAGGAGCCGATTAGTGCGAAGAAACATTGATGCGGAAGAAAATCACAGGAAGCTTAAGATACTGCTTCGTTTCTTCATTTTTTGCCGGTTCCTGAGACGTGACCGATTTCTGCCCTATCACCCCCACCTCGTTAACCTCCACCACCCCCATCCTTTCTCCTCTAATCACGGACAGCGCAAATTCTATTTTCGTGACAGGCCAAATCGGGAAGAATCATTTACAACTGACCCGTATACAGAGGCAAGAGTCTACAGAACAAAGGAGTCCGCTGCATGGAAAAGTGAGGGGAGCGAGTGAGTGAGTGAGTGAGTGAGTGAGTGAGTGAGTGAGTGAGTGAGTGAGTGAGTGAGTGAGTGAGTGAGTGAGTGAGTGAGTGAATGAATGAATGAATGAATGAATGAATCATTAGAACATTCACGCACTCACTCGGCTCATTTACCTAATCAGTTATTAAAACGACTGGACGATTGAACGAACAAACGAATGAATGGACTGTCGGAAGAAAAGGTGGATGAAAAAGTGAATTTAGACTACAGTGGATGGTCATACCTTCTCTCCCCCTCATCATTCACGAGCGGTTGAGCGGGGGGATCCTCTCCCAAACAACAACACGTTGTAGCGGCGAATAAGTTGCCAGGTTCTGCTCCTACATATTGATTACAATAGAAGAAACCTCGTATTCTGTGTAATTGAAAGAAAAAATATGGAAGACCCGTTTTACTCTTTAGATTACACAAATTATTAGATAGAACCGAGGACTGACATAACCAAACTACTTGCACTTTTTGTTACAACATCCATAGACTACAAGCAGTCTCTCGTTTTTCTTCTCAGTCCGTCGAGCGAAAAGCGCGATACACGAAAATGACCACGCGCGTGACTGAAGGCGCGAGACACTATTTTCATCAATTCAGTGAAATTCTCAGTCGTCTTGATGCACCCGCGGTACTCCCTGTAGTCTGTAGAAATGCATTGGTAAGTGAAACAACATATGCAGAGGGGGGAAACATGTTAACTAGTATCACTCTACTACAATTATTTTACATCTGATTGCTCTGTAATAATGATCAGCAATCAGCTAAGGTATCACACAGTCACATTTAGTGTGATACAGTTAAGCCTTAACGTGTTGCTTGTGATGGACTGTGTGACTGCGAGATGCGGTTCGCCAGTCCAACCCACAAAAATGACCCTTGTTCGCCAACGAGTCCTCAGTAGCTCAGAGGTTAGAGGATCCGATCTAGACCACGGAGGGTCGTGGGTTCGAATCCCATCCGGGGCTCAGATTTTTTCTGTGTCCTCTTATGGTTGATTCTTTACTTCGCCAAAGTAATAAAACATACTAGAGCGTTAAAATATCAAAATGCAAAATACAGTTTCTGTCTTTTTAAAAGCTATAGAAAAATGAGTGTTACGCGTGTACATATTAAGCACGGTTCCATTGGTCGAAATGGAAGATGAATTTTTTTTTTCATTTTCTTCGTATTATGAAATTAGTACAATTATAATATTAATTACGTTCCATCTTTCGGAAAAAACAAACGAGCGAGATACTGTAAGGAGAGATTTTCCATGAATTCTTTATTTGGCTCGAATATCATATATAGCTTTCAAATATTAGCTTTGACGTTGTTCTTAGTAATTCATACTGAATTCGCATAAAGAAGTTTTAGCTCCGCAAAAAGGCTGGTGCCATTTTTATTATCCTTTGTTTCATTTGCTTTGTGTTCGCCAGGTTATAATCATAGAAAAGCCAACAGCGTTCCCTAACAAACAAAACTAATTGCTCGTTCTCTTTTCAATTATATACATTTTCCGTCAATGTTGACTCTTGAAAGAATACTTGATTTCTTAATAATGGTTTATTTGACTTCAGTCTATTTTTCGTGATTTAACTACCAGACGACATCTATTCATAGTAACGCCTTTCAGGATACAGGTGTACCTCGTTCTAATTGCAACATAGTTATATTTATTTGCGAAAATATATTTCATTAAGTTGTTAGTTAAGGAGAGGTGATAACCGAATTTTGAATATGAAAGGTTTTGCTGTCCTGTAATTTTAAATATAGGTCGCTTTTTGTTTAAGGTGAAAACTTCCAATTAGTCTGCGCTTTTCCTGTTTAAACAACCGATAGCTGAACTTGCAATTTAATTCATATTGTAACACTTTGTACATAAACGCTGTTTTGCTGACCTGGCTAGGTCTTTGTCTCAGTACTTTTACTTTCTAAAATAGCAACAGTAACAAAAGATTTCAGGTTAAAAATAGAATTTGTATTTAGTTTCCACTTAACTCTAAGTGATTTCTGTTTATATTTCTATTGTATTCCTTTGTCTTCAATGGTTGTAAAAATCATATATAAGTAAGTTAGTTTTACTGCTTTTTCGATTACATCGCCGATTATTTCGCCGTGTCCTAACCGAGTTATTGCTGTTTGATCCGCTGAAAAATAAACGCTGTTGGAACCAAGTTTAGTCTGTTTTATCTACTGCTGTACCAGTTAGTGGTCTGATCCCGGACCTCGAGAGAAGTGACGGCTCTTCCTCGCAAGCGAGTTGCCATTTGAGTCTAGTTTTCCCCAGTTTTATCGTGAGTCAAGCACCGAGTTCCCGTTGAGCCTTAAATTCGTTTCAAAGTGGAAAAACCTTCCGTCACAATACACGAGCCGGAGTAGCCTGCGTAGCAAGCGTTTCCAATCGAGTTATTGCGCGAAAGTTAGAGCGGAAGCAAAAAAAAGTTTGAAGGGGGAGGGGGAGGGGAGAAGAGGAAACGCTTGCCCGCAAACCCCACGATTCTGGAAAACGCCCCTTAACATTTCACGGTTCGGTTCATTTGTAACTTGACAGCTCGTCAAAATAGAAACATAACGAACAGATTACCCCTGGATTACCAGATTTGTGAAATTACTTTGTTCTCCAATAGAACACGTTGCAGGCGATTGTAAGAACTGTAATAAAAATGATTTACGATAAAAGAAAGTTAAAACCATGAGCGATTGCTGCGGAATTTCTTGTTTTTTATTGTGTGGCTTTATCTCGTCTGAAACCTTGTCGACACGTCAAAAATGATTTGTCCGGAACAATTCACTCCGCCGGCTATAAGTTTTGCAGAGCGGCTGCTCTTCAGCCTGTGTCGAAACGTTCTCTACAATACATGCCGCTAAATTTCCAATAAACAAAAAGAATCTTTTCATTTCAAAAAGCTGACAAATCGCTTGTCCATGGCGGCTTTAGCTAGTGTCGAGTACTGATGTTCTGATTTATGTTGATGTTATCTCCAACAAACAGTCCATTTTTTCCAGTCAGATCCGCACGCCGTCATTCTCAATAAATTGGCCTTCCCTAGTCTCCACTGCTCGATCTCCAATTATACTTTAAAGGCTCTGATCTCATAAACCTTCGCACAAACACGATTGCAATAAATATCAGTCCAAAGCATTCGTAATCTGGTAATCTGCGACCACAAATCAGATGAGACCAGATGAGAACAAAGCATACCTGGTTTGATTGATGTTTCGAATGCGAAGTAATCAACACTACCCGCACCGCGCCAATCAGAGGCTGCGTTCGTGGGCGAACGCAGTTTTTCAAAATCGTGGGGTTTGCGGGCAAGCGGTTCCTTCTTTCCCCTCCCCCTCCCCCGTCATTCATTTTTTTGTTGCTCTTGCCCCAGCTTTCTAGACGAACCTCGCGAGGAAACGCTTGCTACGCAGGCTAGAGCCGGAGACATTAAAATTGATCTTGTAATAATCTGAATAATACGTACATTTGCGCGCGATATATAGATCTCTATTCTCAGGTTAATGACAAATGAAAACACGACACTGAGCCGTGTTCATTTTGGGCCGTAGAGAATTGGCTGAGGCCGCACTTGGCAACTTAAAGGAACAGTATCCCGTTACTGCGCATGCACCAAACTTTGATTTTTGGACCGGATGTCGCGAAATCAAAAGATGCGAGGAGAGTAAGAGAACCTTGAAAAATCCGTTTGCAACGCGCTTGGCCGAGTTCGATACTGCACTAAAACCTCTCAGGATTAGAGATCAATGATACATTGCTCCCGTTGAGTTTTGATAAGGGCGAAATCAGGATTTTTTGTCATTACTTTTATTCACCGTTGGCCGGAGGACCAAAAGCGGGGAAGCGCTTTGATCCCGATTGAAGGCTTATTTCTTCTGCCAGCTTCCCTACAAGTCAAGAAATTGTGAAAGGAATACGTATATATGAAACAGCAACAATAGAGACTGTAAGAAAGAAACTATTGAGACATGGATGTGACTGAGGAGATCTTGTGGAAGCTTCGTAAAGCAGAATGTTTTGCAATGACGCGTTTGTAGACTTTAAAATTAACCATCTTACGGCCGACAAAATAAAACAAAAAGGCGCTACATGTTTAGAAAAACTAGTGCAATAAAATCATGATATATTTTTGGACTAACCTTTGCGATAATTCATAGCGTTAAGATTGCATTTTTATTTATATCTTTCAAACGTTTGAGGCTAGAACGCGAGCAAATCAGGCAAATTTCACTGGACTTGGAGCGATTGACCTCTGACACGAGTTTCACATTAGAAAAGCTGTTTTTCAAACAAGCGGAACCAGATTTTCAGCTTGCGAGGCGGCCCCGCTAGCGAAAAAAATCGCAAGGAGTCTTCGTGTAGCCTGCGTAGCAAGCGTTTCTGTGCGGTTTAGGAGCAAAGAAAAAGGAACAAGAGTCAAAGACGGCGCGAAAAATGGCGCAAGAAAAGGACAGGGGAGGGGCTGGGGAAGAAAGGAAGAAGAAAAAAGGAAAGAAAGAAGGAAAGAAAGGTTTCCTTTTTTCCCCTCCCCCTCCCCCTTCTTTAATTTTTTTGGTTCTCGTTTAATTTCTCGCGCGATCAAAACCGAAAATCCCCTTTCACGGTCTCTTTTTGCTCCGAAACCAAACGGAAACGCTTGCTACGCAGGCTAGTCTTCGTACCGCGAGCCAAATTTTTAACAAGACGAAACACTTCTTCGAAAGTCTAAAATATTACTTGAGAATGTAAACAACAAATCTCCGTCGGCGGTGAGGTCCGGAACGAAATCTTGTCGAGTCAACATGACAGTCCTATTGTCATTGAAGAAAAAAACAGATGACGCCCGCGCGTGAGCACAGTCGTGACACTGTTACTTTAACCGGGTTAGTTTTTGAAAAACCCGGTAAAAATTCTTTAGAGCGTAACCTGGTTAAAAGAGTTTAACCAGGTTAATTTATATCAGCGGCCGGACTCAATTTAGAATTTCACAAAGTCATTCAACGTCGTGCGGTTTTTTGTTTCTTCTTACGCTCGCTAGAGTCACTCGTAACACTCGCCTATAAGTGACTGACAAAATTTGACCCCGTATTACCGAGAAAAAGAGGTCGACTTCTTAAAAGTCTTAACTCATTTGTGTTACTAAGAAAGAAATACTGAACTTGGAGCGAAATAACAATTTCAAAACTGTGCTTACGTGCATGGTAAAGCCAAAATTTGGATCATTCTCACGCGTAGGTGGAGATGAAGGTTAACCTACGTTAAAACTACCTCCCGAGG